ATTTTTAAATCCCGATACCGAGCCGGTATCGGTATCATTAGCTTAAAGTTTTTTAATTTCGAGGTATTAAGAGAGTAGAAAAATTATGGTGCTGTCCATAATCAAGAACGATGAGAACCTCTCATATCGATGGGGAACCTCTCAAGAACCTTTCATATCCTCATATCTCTCTTAAATATTTCATATTCTTCAACGTATAATATAAAATATTCTTTACATTACCAGTTTATCTTATCTTAGCCTCACTATAGTGTACCCCTTGGGGTAAAAATGGTATCCAGGAATGAAGGAAGTCCAGTAAGTACAATAGAGGTTCGGTAGCTGATGAATTAGGTCTGGACTATAAATGATGAATTAGGCCTGGGCCTGATTCATCTATCCGACAACCCTACTATAGAGAGGTCCGACTGTAGTTATTCATATATTTTTAATGATAGCGCAAATGTTCTCGGCGCAAAAGTCACGGAACCCTATAAACTATTCGTTATTCACCTTAATTCCAACTAATCCTTTTAAATTCATCCATACTTAAATCACTCCAAGTCCATAAATATCCTTCCAAATCGATAAAAATTCCCATTAATCCCCCGATATCCTCTTAAGCACTCCTATTTCTATACCAATAGATATTAAGATTCAATAAATTAATTAAATATTGCGAGGAATAATGACTATGATTAGAAAATCAAATTTTGTCTATTTTTATATTTTTTAAATGGGGGCCGTACTATTTTAGGGGGCCGTACTAATTTAGGGGGCCGTACTATTTTTCAACCCTCTTCCAAAGGGCCGTACTATTTCAGGGGGCCGTACTAATTTAGCAGGCCGTACTATTTCAGGAAATACGGTATTCTTTTACTAGAATTTATTAATACAATGATAACTGTTACCCATGCTATAAAACAACGATTTCCTGATGTTTTGGTTATCCCTGTTTTGGGTAATTATGATATGGAAGGCGCTATTTCATTTCCTGATGATGCAGAACAATTAGGGATGTATCGAGATATTTATTACCTTTGGGAGGGATGGATTGGCGATGAACCTGAGGTATTAATTTAAACTTTACTAAAAAATGAATAAAAAGTTTGGCAATAATTAAATTTTATTCATTAATAACTAAAAATGTAATAATAGAAGAATACTCTCGGGACAATCATATTAAGAATATTATTTTCCCTTTGACAAAAAGATTTTTAACTAATATAGTAGACTTGTATTCTTAAACATATTTTGCGGGAAATAAAGATCCAAATAAAAAATATACAAAAAAGTTTGCTTGTTTAAAATTTTCTGGCGTATTTTAAAATTTTGAAAAATCGTAGTTGATTGTCTTTATATTAATTATTTAGATCAGATCGGCGCGTTAATCGTAACGCAAATGTCGACGGACATTTGCGTTACCGGAAAACTTTAATAATGGAAAACTTTAATAATTTTTAAGGAAACTTTTTTGCGTGGTGGATATTATTATTTTAAATCTCCATTAGATGGTTCCGAATATTTAGTTTTAAACACAAATATTTATTACATAATGAACAGTGCAATTAAAGATTTTACAAATCCAGAAGACCCAACTGGCCAATTTAAATTTATTGAAAGACATTTGGCTGAAATTAAATCAAAAAATGGAAAAATAAATATTGTTGGACACGTTCCGCCTGGGGGTAGTATTTATGGTTACTGGTGCCATTCCCCCTCTGATTTTTAGAACATAAAGTCCGGTAAAGGGTGTGTGTGCGTGCCATAATTCCTTGTAAACCTATTGCAAGCGGAAGCAGTGGTATTACACTCAACGTTGTATAGGTTCTAATTTCTGAAGCTGTTGACTCACAAGAAGAGAGTGGAAAGGGGACGTCACTTATTTTTGGGGGGGGGCGGCATTAATACCGTATTCTAATCAGATTAAATATTTCTTGAAGGGTTTGTTTATAATACTGGCATGCCAGAATGTAGAGACGAAATGGAAACTCGATACAATAAACGGTTAATTGACTTGTTTACAGAATATGCAGATTCTATTGGGTTTATGTTGTTTGGACATTTACATACTGATACTTTTAGAATTTTGAAGGTTTTTATTTTTTATCTAAAATAATTATTATATTATAATTATTTTATATGCCGGATAGTCTAGAGCTCTGGGCTTCTTTTTGAAAATTCTCTTAATATTTTATTTTGGTATAATTACTTAAATTTTACAGCTAAAAGCTGATCTATTATATTTATGTATAGTCTATATTTTTGTCAGTTTTATAATTTTTCTGAGAAGATAATTTTTAACAAAAATTTTGTTTGTTTCTATAGATATTTAGAAAGATCTAATATAACAGTTCAAACAAAATCTGTTATAATTCTTTAATACATATTCTGTTAAGAAAATGATTCTATTTATTATTTTTGAATTTAAAAAATCTAAAAAAATTAATTTTTAAAAAGGATTCAAATGGGAAACCAGTACAACGAATGTTTTTAAATCCAGCTATAACACCTTTGTTTAATTTAAATAATCCAGCTTTTCGTGTTTTTGACTATAACAGGAATAATTTTAATATTAAAGATATTAGGTAGGTTTTTCTGAAATTTTTTAAATTTAAAACTAAATTTAAAAAAAAAAGAACTTTTTATGTCAATTTGGATGAATTAAACCAAAAAGGTCCTAATCAAGTAAAAACAGTTTTGGAATATTCAATGAAAAAAGTTTACGGGCTTAAAACTTTTGATGCAAATGAAATGAATTATTTGGCAAAACGATTTGCAACAGAAGATAGACTTTTTAATTTATATATTCGTTTTAATAGAGTTATGAATTGGAATGATAATTTATATATTGATAGGTTTTTTTAAATTCATATCTAAATTGGTTACTTGGCATTCTAATTGATGAAGCTGTAGACTAACATGAAGAGGGAGTGGAAAGGGAGCGAGCGTCTTATTGGGGGGGGGGGGGGGGGGCATTAATACCGTATTATAAGGAAAATTATTTTGACCGTCGTCCGGACCTCCAAAATTCGTCTGGACTAATATAGAACCCCTGAATTAAAAAATTTTCTATTTTTAATATTTAAGAAAGATTTATTTCCTTTTACTTTTTTTTTAGAAAAATGTATATTTGTGTTATTGAAAATGTCGATTTGGACGAATTAAAGAATTGTATTTCTAACAACGATGTAAAAAAATTAACAAAAATTTTTTTATATTTTTAATTTTCTAGGGATCTTCTTCTTCAACAAAAGGATTTGATCAGCATTAACTAAATTTTCTGTGATTTTTACTGTCCTAATTGCTTGTCTTCTAAATTTTGGCCTTTTTAAAGTTTTTGAGAAAGAAATATTTATGTAAATCTGTCAAATCACCAAGATTTGGATAATCTTTAGCCGATAAACAAACACTTTTCCAACATCTTTAAAAATATTTCGCCCGCTCAAAAGAACTTTTTTCCTCCCATTTTTTCATCTTTTTCCAATCGGTCCATCCCATTTTTTGACCCTTTCCTCATCCCCTCTTCAAAAATAAATTCAGTTCTGATTTTGTTCAAATTTTATTTTGTTATATTTTTTCAGTTTTTCGTCCTGTTTTTCAGTATTTTGGCTTACCCCCCTTTTTTATGCATATTTAATTTGTGAAAGAAAAATATTTTTTATTCTGTTAGTTTAAATATTTTTTAGAAATAAATTTATAGTCAAAGTTTATTGGTGAATTAATTAGAAAAATTAAAACTTTTCCCTCCTTGTTTATTCGAATCCAAGAAGGATTCGACAAATCTTTAAAAAATTTTTACTATTCATTTTTTACTATTTTTACTACTTTTGATTAAAAAATTCAAGAGTTACCCTTGCCCTTTTTCTTTTTTCAAGTTTTAATGGCGGGATTAGGAAAGTTCATTCTTCATTTTATTAAATAAATCAGACTTGGCCATGGATACGGATAATATCCGGATACCCGCGGATATATCCAAAGGCGGATATCCTTCCAAATCCGCTATATTTCGCTAATTTTTTCAATTTAAACAACACTAATTATAAATCTTAAAAATACAACCAAGAAAAATTTTCTAAAAGGAATATTCTTAATTTTTCCATCCCTAGTGTATGTAGATTTTATAACTCTATATGTAAGTTTGGAAAAATTAAAAAAATTCAAAAGAGTTACCCTTGTATTTTGGCTTATCCCAAAATTATAAACACGCTAGCTGATCACAACTGACCACTGCCTTTTTTATTTTAACTCATCACTCGCTCAATCAAAAACGCAGAATTTATGAAGTAATTAGTGAAAATATGCGGTTTTTGCCCTGAAAGTTTCCCGCCTATCTTCTCTAAAGTATAAAAGGCGCAGACTTTTAGTATTTCAGTCAAATTCTATAGTCGTAGTCAGTATTCTACTCAATCACAGTATCGCTTATTCTATTGTATTGTTACCTTTGTGGTAAAGTGCGTCTTGCTAGTCTATAGTCTATTCTGTTAGTACCGGACACATTGCAAGTCGATACAGAAAACAGTCGTTCAATATGTCATTTGAAAGGGCTCGTAAGCTGGATCGAATTGCACTAAAATTAAGCTTGGGACTCAACTATAGGCTGAGAGATACGCCTCCGAATATCGAAAAACTATAGGGACCCAGCTGATTTTTGGAGCTATCATTATTTTTGTCGAGTTCTTTTGAATGAGCTATAATTCACATTATCGAATTTTTCACCCCAAAAATCAGCTGTCATCAAATTAATTTTAGTGTATCTCGGTGAGATATTTCAATTGACATATCGTTTGACGTGTTGATTTCCGGTATTTATAACAGAATTTCTTCATGTTTTCTAATTTTAAATAGGTTTCATGTATATTTTATTTTTTAGATAATTAAAATTAAAAATGAATTCTCTACCAACCGAACTTCAATTTGATGTCTTGAAGTGTCTTAATTTCAATCAAATATTTTCTGTTAAACAAACAAATTTTTATTTTAATGGGTTTATTAATAAATACGAGGGGGGATTGGCACGAATGAAATTTGATGAACTTCAACTAGTGAATATTTTTATTATTTTTTTAATTTAAATTAATTTTAGTATGATATTCTCTCTCGTTATCCTAGATGTTTAGAACATAAAATAATTAAGCCTGAATCTGGAATTTTTGAAATTACTTTAAATGATCGACTTAAAAAGAAAGTAAAATTAATTTTTATTTACTTAAGTCTATATTTTTGTTTTTTTAAGTGGCAAGCAGCGATAACTGAATCATTGCCGTTATTTTTAAATAGTTTTAAATTTGGCACAAACATTCTTATGCGTCTTGAGAAAACAGGTACAGAATAATGTAAAAAATTCTTGTTCGGATATCCCTAGTTAAATATATGTGATCAACCCAGAATGTCAACTCCCTTTTGTATTCGAGGGATTTGAGTGGATTAAGGGACAAGACGGAAATTCTATACTGTCACTGTCAGATAAGGCAATAGGGACCATGCCAACGTAAAATTGATCTTGATTCACCTTTATAAGACAAAATATTTGGAGTTGACATCCAGGGTCAGTTGACCAATAGGGAGTTGAACTCCTGCTATAAACTTAAATATTACTTCTACTTTTATAAATAAAATCTTATTTTTTAATCATTTATAGATTTATTTATCAAAAAAGGCTTCTATATTTTAAAATTACCAAACATTCCAAAAAGCATAAAACAAATGATTATTGTTCGGTGCTGGTTAGAACATTTATTTAATTGTGCTTTTGCGTGTTTCTATTTCGATAAAAGTGTATTTAATCCAAAAATGATCAATTTATTATTTGATAACGACAAAACAACTCTTCTTCAATTCAAAATTCACAAATTGTCTCTATCTGTTAACAATTACACAATTGAAAATATTTTTAAATTCTCTTTTAATCATTTGGCAATTTCTGAATGTCTTTGTATAGATTTTAAAGAAAATGGCATTCCAGAGCAATATATGGATATTTTATTAAATATTTTAACAAATGAATCCAATAACTTTACGAAAATTTGTTTGTTTGGACTTGAGTCAATTAGGCTTCATGATCTTTTTGTTGACGTGAGTTATCTAGGTTTTTTGAGATAGTTTAAAAAAGAAATCGGAATTACCGTATTTCTTCTATTAGAATGACACCCTCTAATAGAAGGGAGGGCCAAGGTACCGTGAGCCCAAGATACCGCCGAGCTATAACTTTCTTCGAAATTGTCGAATCCGGACGCCCTGGCATGGTTCGATTCAGCTCGTCGAGATGCATCGAACCATACGAGGGCGTCCTGGACTCGACAATTTTGAAGAAATTATAGCTCGGCGGTACCTTGGCCTTGTGGTACCTTGGGGTGTACCTCTAATAGAATGCCACCCTTGAAGGTGATTGAAAAATAGAATGCCATGGCATTCTAATAGAGGAAATACGGTAATAAATATAAAATTTAGTATATAACAACATCAACGGAAATAGACTATTCAAGAATTATATCTTTTATTGACTTACATTATGTTTCACTCAAAAATTTTAAATTGAATGGGAAAGCTGAAAAAGTTATAATTGGTCAATCAAATGATGTAAAATATACAAAATACCAAATTGCAAATATTCATAATCCAAAAATAAGATTTTATTTTTGTAATGATGCAGATGAATATGGATCAACTTTTCTCATTAAAATCAGAAAAATGAAAGATAAATTTTAGAGGAAGAAAGTGAAAATTTTGACTATTCATTGAAAAACTAAATAAAAAATTTTTGTCGAAATTTTTAAACCTAACGATTAAAAAATTTTAAATAATATGTATGATTTTAAATCATTTTAGTTTGTGCAAATTAAGATTAGCAAAATATTTTTAAAAAGCGAATTCTTGTTATTTTAAGAAATAAAGTTTGGAAATTTACTTCCTTTTAATTATACACTTAAGATCAGAAATAAGGTTGCCGTTTTCGAGTTGGGCCGATGTTAGTGTCATTTTTTCGGGCCGGCCGACCGGGTCTCTTTCGGGCCAAAATGCGATGCCCGACTTGATATTTCGGACTGGGCCGGCAACCCTATTCAGAAATACATAAATTTTTCTCAAAAACAATATTTTATTTCAAAGACAAATGGATTCGACAGATATTTACATTGTATCAAAATAACAACAGGTAAATAAACAATATTGAACATTACATAAAAATACAAAATACTTATTTTGTTAAACATCAACATAATATCTCAAAATTTCGTTATGAAATGCTTTCTTAGAGCCAATACGGAAACATAAATACATCAATTCATCTATTTCTGGATCATCTACACGAAACATTTCGTATTCCACAACCTTACAGAATACTTTCCCTTCCTCCTCCTCTCCAGGAAAATAACGTTCTTCATCATTTACTATTTCGCCAAACATTTTCTGTTCAGAATCGTCATAGTGAAAGCCTTTACGACCATGAATAACGATGTGATGGTACATAAATTCAAGTCCTCTAGGAAAACAGTAGCCTTTTTTATGATATAGATAAAAATATTTTGTTTGGAATTTCAACGGAGCATCACCAAAAAATAATTCGAGAATGTCCGGATTGATAAAGCCTTGTTCAAATTTGAAGTTTTCAGTAAAACAATAGGAAAGCTTCTTCAGCCAGTAACGAAAAACAAGCATTTCTTCGATCGTTTCAGGATATTGTTTTAATTGCAATCGAAGAAATTTAGGCGGCGTTCCTTCTAAAAATTAAAAGGTAAAAATCTAAGCTTCACAAAAAGCTTCTTTCTAAAATCAACTTCTAACAAACAAAATTATTCACCTGTTCCTTTCGCTACAAAAACCAAATTTGCAATTTCATTAAGCTTATAATCATCAATTGCCACATCAAAATTTTTGCGAGGAGAGTTGTTGTTGTAATAAAAGTAAAAAGGAATTCGTTGTTGAATCGCTGCTTTCCACTGAAAAATAAGAGTTTATAGCCAAAAGAACCAAAGCAAAGGGATTACCTTTAATTTGAGTTCCTCACTTAAATTCAAGTCCAATTCTTTACGACTATACTCCAAATCCTTGCAAACATCTGCAAAACAAAATCTTTTGATAATATTAGTGGAAAACCTACAATTCTTCCAAACAACCAATTCAACAGAATAGAACACTTTCACGGCCAATTCTTTGTTGTAATTGTTGACCAATTCACAAAAATGACGATTTGACAGTTGAAAGTTGTTCAATTGGTTGAAGTTGAAGCATTTGAGGATGTCAAGGTTGGTTTCTGCGGGTAAAAGATTCATCGTTGTTTTTAATGAGACTGAGTTTAATTAAAAACTTAATCCTTTTATACTGTTTTTATATGTTAATTTATGTGAGTTCTTTCAATTGAACAATAGTTAATTTTCTTGCCTTTTATGTGTCGAAATAAAGATTTGACTTAATGAATTAAGTTATCAAGCCTTCCCTGTTGTTGATCAACTTTTGCCATATTGGAACAGCATGCCCGATTGTTGGAACAACATTCTCACATGAAGGAATAACATCTCCCGTGTTGGTCTTCCATTGTTGGAACATTTGTTGGCGGTAGGTGGGCTCGCGGAAGGTAGATTGGGCCTTCGTAATCACTTCTAATCTCCCACCAAAAAAGCAAAACTCCCGAAAATCGGGGATTCCCGACGACTTTTGGCTCGTGAATTCACGATTCACGAAAATCGGAAATTTGGTTTTCCCTGATATGAATTATAGCTTTTTAAATTTATTTTAGCGTGACATCAACACAATCTTTCAGGATTTAAATCTGTAAAATAATTAAAATGAATCAATTATTCACGGCTGCTCCCAACTAAATTATTTTTGTGGATTTTTAAGTTGGCAAGTTTAATTCATTAACAGATTCTGCAATTATTCTGCAATAATTTGCATTTTGCAATTATTTTTAGCTTTATTAAGTTGGATATAACCGTTTAGGTATGGATTAAAGATTTGTCTATGAGAGAAAGAAGAGGAAAAATTAGCAAAAGAGAAAGAAATGCTCAACTTTTTTAGCAATTATTCAATTCTCATTAAATAGAGAAAAGTTTTTAGATTGCAAATAAAATATTTTGCAGAATTCTTAATGAATTTATATTTTAGTGTTTATTTATTTTTAAATAAAAATAGAAAAGGCAGAATGCTATATTTTCAAATTATCGTTGATTTTATTGTTCCCGTTCTCGACTTTGGGGCTGATAATAGCACCAATAATTATTAGAAATTTTAATTCTAACTTCAAATTAACACCTATTACTTAATTGTATTTCAGGGCCAATGACACTAAGAAATATTGAAAAAAAAATAAAATGATCTGCCAAGGGTGGGGGTATTGTATTGTAAGGTATTGCATAGAGGTTTTTAGTTTTAGAATAGAAAAAAGCTCTTAAGTTCACATTACATTCAATCCTATACCATTTTATAAAATGGGGTTGTCCCATAGATTATTTATATTATAATTCTTTATTCATACCTTAGATGTCACGAGCTAAAAAATTTTGTTCGAATTTCAAATAATAATTAGAAATTTTCTTCGATATCCATGGTTCGGCCGGTTTTCTGATAATCCGTGACATTCCTATTAGTATGCCGCTTTAATAAATTAAAAACATTGTTCAAAATCACTAGAAGCATTAAATCAGAATAGAAATAAATGGATTTCTCAAAATTTATTTATTCTTTATCCATATTCATACTCCTAATATTAGCTTCATTATATTATCTAAATTATAACAAACAAAATCAATTTTATATTTCTAAATCATCTATATCGGTATTAATTTGAAGAACTCAATTTTGAAATTAAAAATTAAATAATTAAGATAAAGATCAAAAATCAGAAAATGCCCACAATTTTGATTTGGAATAAATGTTATAATGTGACAAAACAAATAATTGGTTACCCAGATTATCCAGTGATTGATTCCAACATTAAATGTCAATACGATTGCAAATTCACTTTCGATAAAAAATTGTAAGTCTGTTGTGTCCGCACTTGCAGAAATAATATAAATAAAAATAACCCATAATCGGGTTGGATGGTGGCACAGTCGGTTGTGCTTCGGTCTGGACTCATTCCGTGATGGTTCAATTTAGGGTAGCTCGCCGTCTCCCTTATCCCGACCCCGACGATTTTTTTGGCAAAAAACCCGACCCGAACCCCGACACATCCCACCCCGAAGGCGCTACCCTAATTCAATTCCATTTCCCATCCAATGAATTTTTCCACAGCATGAACATTACAAAGTATTACCTACTCAATTCTTAACTAAGAAATCTCAGTTCTGAAAGCAATAAAAATTTAATTAAACAGTTAATTAATAGTGATACTCATTGATCAAATTAACGCGATTATTTCGGTTAAAAACATTTTAATACATTGTTTATTCATTTAGCGAGGCAAGTGCATCAACAATTATTTTCTTGCTCCATAAATTTTGCCCAATAAATTCATGGCCTCAAAATCGAAGAGAGAATCAGAACTATATGATGTATACAGTTGAATGCCCTACAGAAACATTGAGATATTATGACAGAAACTTATTAATAAACAAATTTTTTAACAGTTCAGCAACTTATCGTGTAGATAGTTCTGTATTTATGCCTTATGATGCTTTAACTAAAATTACTCCAACAACCCCTAAAGAATATATTTGGAAGCAAAAAGAGGTAAATTTTAGAGATGGGACCGAGACTTATCTAAGACATACTTGAGGTTTTTCTGTCTAGATCTTGACTCATGAGATGCAGTCTTATTCTAGTCATGTAAAACTTTACGCTCTCGAATATTTTTCTATTTTACGATAAATTATTTATTTTAAAGGTTTTGGCAAAGGTTATGAACAAAACAAAATTAGCCTTCCAGGCAATATCTCATTGTAACGCTAGTTCAAGTCGTGATTCTATCACTAAAAGATTACAAAAACTAATCGGATTAGATGTTGTTGGTGAGTGTTATGGTGGCAGGTGTAGTTCTGATTGTTATAAGCATAACATGGGTGAATACGAAATTTATTAAAAGTAAGAGTAAATATTTATTTTCAGAAAATCATATGTTTTATTTGGCATTAGAGAATAATATTTGTCACAATTATGTAACAGAAAAATTTTGGAATTCGTTAAGATCACTCACCGTACCTGTAGTTTTTAATAGATCAGTTTTGAAAGGAATGGATGTTCCTTCCAATTCATTTATTGCTTTGGATGATTTTAAGTCAGTAAATGAATTTGCTGCATATTTAAAGGCTTTGCAAAATGATACGGAAAGATATTTAAAGTAAATTTTAAAATTAAGTTTCAGACCTTCTCGGTCTAGGAACCTTCGGAACGCTGGTCAAGTTTGGGAATTAAGGAAGATAATGGAGGTGAAGTGTTGTCTGATCATCAAAAATTTTCTATAAAAAACGGAAGATTTTTCCAAGTCGTTTCGGATAACCAGAACCAACCTCAAGCAATAAAGAACATTGGTTTTATGTTTCGGTATAATGCTAGGGTTGTTTGAACATGTGAAGGGCTTTTTGGAAAACAAAATTATTCTTAAAAGAGGATTATTTCATAAACCTCTGATATATTTTAGGTATTTTGAATGGACAAAAACATATACAAATCGGAAATTTGGTTTTGATTATTCACCAATATGCAAAATATGTGAATATGCTACAAAACAATTTGAAGGAGATAGAAAAAATATATTAAATTTGGATAAATTTTGGAATGTAAATGATTGTAATAAATTTGATGTTGAGAAATTTTTGAAAAATAAATAATAATAATTGAGAAATGAATTGAAAATGTAAGATATGTTGGGTGCCGATACGGCCTTCAAAACAAATCCAAAAAACAAATAAAAAAACTACAAAAAGAATTAAAAAATAATTTCAACTGATACTAGAGATGAAGGGTTATTTCAAGAAAATAATAATCCTTTGCCCTTTATTTCTCCGAAATTTAAAAGATAGGTAAAAACCCTAAAAAAATTAATGGCAGGATATGTTTTTAATTGCCATTTTAAATTGTTATTTTTAATATAATTTCAAAATACAAGCTTTAAATTATAATAAAGTTGTGAGTATAAGTGCAAAATACAAAGATGTACATATTAGTATATAATGATACAAATTAATGACTGGATAAAACAAAAAAAAATAAAAACAAAAAGAAGACGCACTTGTTTTTAATAAAAAGGGCATGTGTGATTTTAATATTTAACGGGCAATTTTAAGCATTTTGAAAATAAAATATTTATTACACAAATATATTTCCCTCTGTTCGACAATTTTTAATTATTATTTTAATTTTTCAAACAACAATAATTAATTTAAATAAAAAATGAATATTATTTATATATTTTTTCTTTTATTTATAATTTATTTGGAAAATTCTATCAAATTGGTAAATGGTGAAACAATCGAATTGGAAATTAATTCGGATTGGTTAAAAACAAGAAAATATAATTATTTAAAAAATAAAAACCCCGAAGAACGTTTTTCTTTTAAAAATTTAATTGCAAAATATTTTAATACAATAGATGATGTAAATTATTATTTAATAACTAGAAATATGCTCAGATATTCTCCAGAAATAGAAATTATTAAAAATAACATTGTCAATGAATTAATTAATTATTTACCTAAACAGGTATTAAATCAGGGTTCTTACATTAGATGTACGGATTTTGCCTCATTTGTGGTTATTTGATGGGCCGATGAGGGGGGGGGGGGCGGGGAATTTTCAAAAAATCTCTCAAATTTCCCGACTTTCAGGAACGGGGACGGGGAACAACCATATACGAGACCAACCACTTTACTCTAGGCAAAACCAAAATAATACAACTTGTTATTAAAAATTAGATAATTAAAAGATAAAGATCATTAAGAGTTAAATAAACTTTAAAATTATAAATTAAGATGGTTATACGAAGATTACCAACCTATAAAACCAAAATCTGTCAAATATCTATTTTAAAAAACTACTATATGAAAAAAGATTTAAAAACAAAATCAGTAAAAGAAAAAATAAAATATTACAAAGAAAAATTACAAAATAATTATTGGGATTTAATTAATTTAATTGCATATAAAATTGTAATTTTTATAAATTAATATTTAAACTAGTAAAAAGGTTTATAAGTTGCGCTCGATGATACTCTGAGATTATTGCCATTTTAAATACTTTAATTCATAAGTATAATTTGGTATGAGGTTTCGGTTCAAAAAATTCCTTTAAAATCCGAAACTAAATCGAATAACCGAACAAACAATTTTAAGTACAAATGGCCTCAATTTTACGTACATCAAATAATAGGTACTACTCTATTTATGGAACATACATTTAAAGTACTTTTCTAATTTGGTTGACTATTGGATTTGGGAGCTGCCTAATCTAAACCCTCAATTACGGATCACCTCAATTTTACATATTTCTTTCTGCTCTATGTGCGTATGAAACTCGATTGTATAAGTATGAACTCAAATTACTGCTTTTTATTAATCTCAACGTAGTAATACCTAAATTTAACGAACACTTGATATAACAAACTTTCCCTAAGCTTCCTTCAAGTTCGTTATATTAAGAGTTGATTGCAATTAATATTTAATTTTAAATAAAAGAACAAGAGAGACGAATACAAAATAAATGGCATAGGGCTCAGAATTATCAAAACGGAGTTTTATAAAATAAATAGAGAAACCCCATCGAAAGACTCAGGTTATTTTTATTGTTTTTCCAGAAGTACATATAACGATCTTGTTATTAGGTTCGGACATAATTTATGGCTATTTTTTAGATTAAAATTACCAATCGTATAAGTTACATCACGGCTATATTAACCATATATTTTATGTGATCTACGTTGATTTTGGGCTACTATAGTCACAATTGATTCCCAAACTCAGACTTATGAGCCATATCCAATTTTGTTAGCCGTAGGGTACCTTAGTAACGTATCATGGGTTATCTAAAAGTTAGATACAAGCAGTGTTTGGAATATCAAAATTTGCTCGCACTCGTACTTTAAAATTTTTTACGAGCTTCGGAACACTAGATACGACTGTAATATTTATTTTCAGATAAAATGTTTGATGTTTATTTGAATGAAAAGCCATTACCTCTGACTGGAGTAAAGCTAAAAAGAATTGCAAAATACTATAAATTAAATAAAAGTAGTGAAAGTAAAATACTCGAACAGTATCTTCTTAATTACGATTCAAATAAATTCCATATTGAAAAGAATATGCCCAACAAATTTAGAAAAATAAGAAAGATGAAAAATCCCAGATTTATAGCTATTGAAATTAATTATAATTATTTGGAAGATATTAAATTATGTAAATTAACACATAAAATTGATATTGAAGAAGAAAAGTTTATTAAAATGATTGAAGAAGATGATGATAAAGATTTTGAAATTAAATTGAAAGAAATTGAAAAAACCAATGATAGCTAATTAGAAAATTATTTAATTAGTTGAATCCTATTGTAATCTATAATTTTAAGTATTCAATTACTGATAGGATATTAACCGAACCGAATAACCGGAGCAAAACTTTCGGTTAAACGAAACCGAAACCGAAAACCCAAACCGAACTACCCAAATCCTCAGCTATGCTGGATACCCCAGCAATTTCATGATATCACCTTTGATCCCCGAATTTCTTCGAATTATCCCTAATCCCACCAGATCCCTAGAAATTTTTTAAAATTATCTTTCGTTTCTCCCTTTTTTTTATTGTAAACTTCCAATTCCCTCCCTAAAGGTTCATTCGTGATTAGTTGTCTATATTATTTAAAAAGTAAAAGTAGTTTATTTTGTTTTTTTCTACTGATATTCGAATTCTTTTAAATTTTGTTATAATTTAAATAGTATTATAAATTCAAAGCATATCCTAATTATATCTTTATTTGGGAGACATATAATTCTAAAAATAAATAAAATCTTTATAATAAAAGTTACAAGTATTTCTAAAAATTGTATGCATTTGCTAATGTACAAAACAAAAAAAAATATAATTTTTACTTTCCACCAACCTTAACTCAGAAATAAAAATTTAAAAATCTATAAAATATTAAAAAGTATCAATGAGAAAAAAGGATATCATACAAAAGGTGTATATCATACATAAATAATATACATATAATATGCAAAAGCAATAAATTGAGATATAAATATAGCTTAAAAGATTATCACAAAAACATCACAGGGCAAAGAAAAAACATAGCTAGAAAGGAGTTTAGAAAATAAAACTTGAAATTTTTTTGTTATATTTATTTCGAGACAATCAAATGCCCTTGTGGAGTAATTCGAATAGCCGAAGTTAGAAGGAAAGCTTAAAAAGAAAAAATTAAATTTTGTTGGAAACAAAAAAGCTTTTCTTACCAATAAATGGAAAACAAGCTGTGAGAATAAAAGCCCAATTATATCCTATTGAATGCAGGAAGTATTCACTTCCAATAGCAAGTACAATGCCGCTGAGAGTCTAAAAGGAGGATTGAAATTTTGTCAATTTAAATTTAAAAAATTAAATATACCGTTGAAAGAATTAAAAACCCATAATTAATGATTTTATGTTGTAAACCAAAACAACGAACGATTGCTGTGATAAAAAGAGCATGAGTTGCTGCCAAACAAACAAACATTAAAATTAACTAAAAATGAGAATAAAATTTATTTGATAATTCTGTTATAAGTAGGGCTGTCAGTTATTAGGAAATTTTCGGATATCTGGATCCGAACCCTTCTTAAACACTTCTTTTAAGGTAAGTTTTTTAAATTTTGGTTGGTCATTAGAATGGGAAGAGGGGGCTGATGCTAGACGATATTCTCAATACAAATTACCCCTCAAAAATACAATTGCAAGCCCAAGTGTGAATCTTATAGTTAGGGTTGAAATTTTCGAGTGGGTCGATCAAGTTATTTTTTCGGGTTTTATTTTTATTAGGCCGGCCCGACCGAGTCTTTTTCGGGCCAAAATTCAATGCCCGTCTCGGGCCCCCAATCCTACTTATAATTATCTTCATTAAAGGAACTATTTTTCTAATTAGGTATTTACCCATAAAAGATAAACATAACGCCCTGCAAGTGCTGTAAGGGGCATTGTAAGTAAAAGAACTGTTGCCAACGATGTTGCCATACAAAGGGATGTCTTGAAAATTAAATTAAAAAAAGAGGGTAAATTTAATTGAAGACCTGAAAACTTGTTCGGTCAGTAAGTAATCCCCAACCAACCCTTGCTATGGCATTTGCAATGGAACCGAGACTAAAAGCCATTGCTAAGAAAAAGTCATCGTCAATAAAAGTTTCGCCAAATGTCTGTAATTTTTGAAATTAGTATATTTAATAAAGTGACGGAATTATGAGGGTATTCTCAAGAATTCAAAAAATTTAAATTTTACTTTGTATAGATTATAAAAGAAATTTCCATAAAAAGAACAACAAAAAAGAGAAATAAAAAGAAAAACAAATGTTGAGGATTGTAGCATTTGATAAGGATCAAAAGAAATTGGAAGACCCTAAAAATTAAAAAAAAATAATATTTAATTATTTAAAAACAGTTTTTTACTTGTTTTTCAATTTCCAATTCTTCGGAATCAGCTGATTCATTGGGAGGTGTAGGAAATGAATTTGTTAAGTTGCCCTCCTCTTTAAGAGAGTGTTCAAGCTCCTAAGAAATAAAATTCAGTTAATTCAAAGAAAAGTAAAAAATTCACATTATTCTTATACTCATTCGATTTAGGTTACCAAGTGCCATTCACCCAAAGAAGGGACCGAAAGTAGAGGGCTTATAACAGGAGGAACCCACTGATTTGCCAGGTTATTAAAGCGGAGTTGACTATTTGGTAGTGTTACTCGAAAAAACAATTAAAGATTTGATCT